GACTTGTCGTGCTTGACGACCGCAAGTACGTCAAGTGGGCAGATGATCTAGGAGATGTATCGATGTTCCCTTCGATGAAGGRGAATGTCGAAGCAAGGAGAATAAAGATGAGTAAAGCAATAAAGCCGGTTAGGAGCCAGAGCATCAAGATAATCTTTGAGGGGGATATCACGACCACACCCATAAGGGTGGCAGCCACCAAGTCGGCACGAGGGACWACATCGAAGAAGACTGACACGGATTACGTGATGACGGAGAAGRACGGGCAGCGGGTCGATGGAGAGGAGGTTATCCTTTCGCCGCGAAGAAGGGGAGTGAAGAAGTTCTTAATGAAGAGTTCGCTGGACGAGATTGACACAGTCGAGCCACTGAGGCGGGCCCTTCGGCAACCCATGCAGTGCTCTATTCTGGAGTACCTGGCGGCATCGAAGCMGGCTCGTGATGAGTTACAGATGATCACGCGGAAGACTCGCATACCTCTATCGGAGGGGGATATGGGGGCCCCTAAGGCGGAAGCTTCTACAGTAACAGTAACGGGGGTGACTGCTAGAGCGGATCGCATGGCGAGAGTCCTTCTCGATGGAATGGAAGGTGTGCCTCCAGACAAGTTTTATATACCTGGTAGCGGGGCCGTGGAGACGATTATAAACGATGGAGCGGTACTCGATGCTGTGATCGATAACGGCAGTGAGGCTGTCATCATAGACGAGGACCTGGCAGTAGGGGTTGGACTGGGCCGCGACAGGTCATACATGTTCGAGATAGAGACGGCTGATGGGAGAAAGCAACAGATCATTGGGGTTTGTCACAAGGCAGCCATAGAAGTCCAAGGAGTGAGAGTGACCCTGCCTGTTTTTGCGGTCAAGAACTGCAGCTCCGACCTGCTCTTGGGTCGAATGTGGCTGAGCCACGTGCATGCGGTGACGATAGAGCGACCTGATGGGAGCCAAACATTGTCCATTAGGAAGCCTGACGGGACACGGGTGATGATTGAGACAGTGGAGCCTCGGGACCCGAGGAACAGAGCAGCTCTCGCTGTGGGTGCAAGACCCAGTTATCAGATTAGTTCTTTACCCATCTCCGGCCGCGCGGTGCGATTTCGCGAGAAGAGATATGGACCACTGCTCACAGAGGAAGAAGGTCGGATCGTGGAGGTGGAAGATTTAGGAAGCCGACTAATAGTGGATGGCAACTCGTACCCAAAGGAAAAAGAGGAGGAATTTGGCGGTGTGGTATCCGTGTCTTTTTTAAGGGCACGGCCCCATATGGGGGGCTACCCAAGCGACACAAGCGAGTAGCTCAAAAAGTTAAGCCAGCGGCGGTGGGCCGAAAGCGATCGGCACTGGAAGGGGTATCAGAAGAAGAGATTGCGAAAGAAATCAAAGAAAGAAAGAAAAAGGAGCCACAACGCTTAACGGAAGAGAGGATAGCAGGTATGGACATCGGAGATAGGATTTGACCCCAAAGGAGCGAGAACGTGTGATAGAAATCCTGAAGACATGTGATAAGGCCATAGCTTTCAGCGACGCGGAGCGCTGTAGGATTGATCCTCGATACGCTAAGGCAGCGAGGATTTATACGATTCCACATGTCCCTTGGAATGACGCGGGATGGAAGTACGCCCAGAAGGAGAAGGAAAAAGTTATCGCTTTCCTGAAAGAAAAGATGGTTTCCCACGTTGCGGAGCCGTCTGATAGTGCTTATGCTAATCGATAATTCTTTCTATGGAAACAGAATGACAAGATTCGATGGATCCAAGACCTTCAAAAGGTCAACGCGGTGACGATACGAGACGTGGGTTCCGTGCCACACGCCGTTTTACTGGCAGAAGGCGCAGCAGGTAGGTCGATCTATTCGGTCTGAGATCTGTTCTCRGGCTATGATGAGGTACCGCTTGACCCTAGGGACAGGCACCTCACGGCTATGCATACGCCATTGGGACTAATTCAAATGATGGTTGCCCCAATGGGTTGGACTAATGGGGTAGCCGTTTTTCAGAGAGCCATGGTAGCCGTCCTCAAGGACTTCATCCCTGATAAGGTTGAAGTTTTTCTGGATGACTTTCCTATTAAAGGGCCAGTAGACAGGGATGAGACAGAGGTTGTACCTGGAGTTATGAGATTCGTCGAGCAGCACCTAACAAATATTTGCGCGGTCCTCGAGCAGCTGGACGATGCGAATTTAACAGTCAGCGGAACAAAGAGCCGATGGGCCGTTTCGACTATTAAGATCTTGGGCTTTATCTGTGACTCGAGAGGACGCCGAGCAGATCCGACAAAGTTAGACAAACTCCTGAACTGGCCGTCACCGTTACATAGCTCAACCGAGGTCCGACAGTTTCTGGGAGTGGTCGGTTACTGGCGTATATTCATACGGGGGTATGCGGAGAAGGCTGAGCCATTGAGGTTACTCCTTCGAAAGACTGAGAACTTCTATTGGAATTCTTCGCAGGAACTTGCTATGCAAGAACTTAAAGACGAATTTAGAAAAGGAGGACGCGTGTTGGGTGTGCCATTCTTTGACGATGAGACCGAGAGACCCTTCATAGTATCCACGGATGCTGGACCATGTTCAGTGGGTGGTTTGTTGTCTCAGAAGGACGCTGGAGGGAAGGAAAGACCGTTAAGTTTTTAGAGTATGACACTTAATACGGCTGAGCGTAACTACAGTCAATTCAAGAAGGAAGTGTTAGCTGTTCTCCGGTGTCTAGACACATTCAGACACTATATCTATGGGCGACGGTTCATCTTGAGAGTAGACCCCACCGCAGTTGCCTCTGTCCTCCAGAAGGACTTTAGTCTGACGGACCCGACCATCGCCCGATGGTTAATACGAATTCGGCTATACGATTACACGGTTGAGRGAGTATCTGGTACTAAAAATGCCGTGGCAGATGGACTTTCACGCATCCCTCTCGAGCGTCCGATAGTAGTTGGGGCTCTGACAATGGCAGAGCCGAGGCGCGCCG